CTAACTCAGATGGTTGGAAAGCTGATAAAATTCTGCTTCTCAATGTATATCAAGACTCCCGGCATAATCTAGAATAATGCATGGAAAAATTTTACAACATAATCTTTAGGGTCTTAGCTTTAATTTGCATTTTTGAAACTTAAAAAATGTTTTGTAATTCCTGAAATATGTTAAAAAAGGTCCGAGCATATCTTTCTACAACTCAGCCGTCAATAATCACTTTTCGCCGCCTCGCTGCTGGGTTGTACTAAAACATTCTCAAACATTTTTTAACAAATTTCAGGAACTACAAAATATTCTTGAAGTTTCAAAAAAGCAAATTTAAGCTAAAAACTTAAAGATTGGGTTAAAATTTAAAAAAGTAAAAATGTTTTGTAGTTCCTGAAATATGTTAAAAAATGTTCAACAATGTTTTTCTACAACCTAGCAGCGAGGCGGCGAAAAGTGATTATTGACGGCTGAGTTGTAGGAAAATATGCTCGGACCTTTTTTAACATATTTCAGGAATTAAAAAACATTTTTTAAGTTTCAAAAATGCAAATTAAAGATAAGACCCTAAAGATTATGTTGTAAAATTGTCTAGCACGGGTGGATGGAGAAACTATGCGCAAATGTACGATTTCTTCTCCTTTTATGCACTAGTGCTTACAAACCCACACTTTAGTCGAGTTTTTGACGCAAGGTGTTATAGAAAATATTTCATAGTTTATTAAAAAATTAATTTTTTCTCTTTGTAGGTTCAGAAAAATGTCATTTTCAAGCACATTTTCACAATACATTAAAACTAATTAGAATATGATAAAACTCAATTTTATCTGCACTATAATATTACCCAATGGGCACGGTCAACCACTGGAAGTCCCAAGGACATCCTTTTCGGAACGTTCTTGGGACATTGTTAAAAAGTCGTTCTAAAGATATCCTTAGGACATCCCAAAAAAGTCCCAAAAAGGCAACCTGTAGATGTCAGAAATAATAAAATAAAGACATCCAAAACAAGTTCTATTTCTGGCCTAGAACGGTTACAAAAATATTCTTAAGAAACCTTAAAGATATTTTTGAAAATTATGGAAAAAATTTGATTCTTTTCAGTACATTTTTTAGACATATTGAGGATATTACAAAGAAGTCTGTTGGACATTTTGTGGACATGTTTAGTACATTCTCAGAACATAATCCTTTTTCGGCGAATTAGCCCATAAGGATCAATATATATGACCAGTAATCGCGATATACTTTTTTTGTGTATTTGGATCTTCAAGAGCACTTCGGTGTTGTGGGTCGTTTGGCGTTTAAGACTTAATACCCTTTACCTTACGCGCTCTTTAGCCTATCTATTTTCTGTTCCATTAATTAAATCAATTCTTCCTCAATTCTCTTCTAAATTTTCACGTTGATCCCGGAATTAGTTTTTACAATAAACGCAATTTGAAATTTGTGTTTTTTTTGTGTTTTAGACAGGTTAAATTTTTACTTGTTTTCAAACTGAAGTTATGTTTTATTTTATCGATTTTAAAAAAAATTCAAACTTTAACCTCAAATTTATATTTAAATGACAGTTGTAAATTTATCTTGAATATAAATATATTCCTATGAATTAATCAATTGACTAATAAAGAAAAATGCAGTATTCCATTGGTATTTGTTTTAAGGTGCACTGTAAAAATTTATCAAACCAATTAACGAAATCAATGAGATTTTAACGAAAATAACCAATTTCTTTGATATTAAGAACTGAAGAAAATATCAGTATAGTTTGTGTAGGTCACGAATACAAACAGCTCCGAAAATATCACCAGTATTTTGGAAAAAATTGTTGTAATCCTTTTAATTCTCATGTTCAACCTGTAACAAAATGTTTGAGAAAGGTAACATCATTTTCCAACAGTGTTAAATTTATTAAATTAATTCCCGGAAATAGCTTATGTGCCAGATGTAGAAATAAAATTATGTTATAATTATTAATTATTATATTTATTAATTATGTTAATTAAAGTTATGTCACTGAGGTCAAAACGCAATTTTTGTTATTTAGAAATCTGTAACTATTTTATAATTGACAGTTTAAAGTTTACACTTAAAGTATATTAATTTGTCCAATAGTCGAGTTTAACGACACTTTCTACATTTCAACATCACGTAATATATTCCCAGTGTGCTCAACCTGTTCTAGAATAGTTCTTTATTTCAATAACCATTCTAGAACAGTTACAGGTTGTTCACACTGGGTTATATTCGTTTTAACTTAAATTAGAAATAGAATATGATCTAGACTCATTTTACCATAATGTATGCGACCCTCACGGGTGCGACTCACATGCGCATCTGAGAATATACTATATACATTAATACTATTCGAAGCTTACAGTAAGTTTACGCGAAGCTTACGAAGTAAGGACAATTTTACACTGTAAGCTTATGATTGACGGACATTTGCAACTCACCTTAGTGTTACCCCCACAGCAGCCAATCATTACTAAAAATTTCGTAAAGATTTCCTTGAAATCTTGGGAATATTTAATTGAAAAGTTTAATGAAAATTGCATAAAGATTTAAATGTCCCACCAAAATAAATATTTGGCGTGTTTATATTAATTGTTTAATTTACTTATCCTATTTCTAATTAATATAACTTTTTTGTATGTATTTAAAATTTTTTTATTTAAAGTGGGTATTTAAAAAAATTAGATTTTAAAAAATATTTTAATTCAATTCTTTTCAAAATAATTGAATTTTCAAAAATAATTAATTTTTAATTAATTTTAGTAAAATTTAAAAAAAACGAATTTTTAAAGAATTGTAATTCAACATTTTGAAAATAATTAAATTTTACAAATTGTCACAAATAAATATATTACAAGCATTTTTTTCTGTCTATTTAGTCAATTTTATTTCGAATCGAAATATTAATTTTTAAAAAATTTTATTTCAACTTTAACAACCATTTTGTAAAGGCCACAATCTTTTACAAAAAATAAAATATTTAAAAATTAATTTTTCATTAATTAATACATTTTTAATTATAATAAATAATTTTTGAACAATAATTTTGATTTAAATGTTTAAAAAATAGAATTTTTGTGTTCACTTTCATTTCTTATTTTAATATATTGAAATTATTTTCTTAATTATTTTTGAAACGTTTTTTCTTGTCTTTAACAATACTAATATAATTGTTTATTAATAAATAAAAAATTTTTAAATTAATTTTCGAAAATTTGTGAATTTTTAATTAATAGATAATATTTAAAAAAATAATTAATTTTATTATAACCTTTTCACATGACCTTCAGTCATGGTTATACAGCATTATTTCGATACACTTTTAATTTTTATATTCACCTGCAATGTGAATATTCAGAATATTCAAATATCTCCGTGAAAAACATTTTCAAATGAACCCGCCCTTTTAGGTCGATAAGTAGGATTAATTGTCTATCAGCAAGTTGTAGAGCCTGTGGAAGATTTTTTTTTTCTGCCAGATATCTGTAGTGTAGTGGTTAGGGTCTTTAGCTAGCGCGCGGCGAACGTAGGTTCAATCCCCAACACCCCAAAATTTGTTTTCAAAAGTTCTTGCTCAATCAAGTATGCAGTGCTTGATTCAATGTGAAACAAAGCATTAAAGCAGAGCAACAATGTTTGTATATTATTTATTTTATTTTTATTCCCAGATAGTAAATTTTTTTTATTGATAAAAATAATAAAGATCTATCTATCTATTTATTATTATTATTATTATTATTATTATTATTATTATTATTAATATTATTTTTGTATTTTTTACAGATATTTCCGTCCAACATTTCCTGAAAATTTCATTTCAATTTTTGCGACGAACATTTCCTGAAAATTTCATTTAAATCTTTACTCAATTTTCGCGACGAACATTTCCTGAAAATTTCATTGAAACTTTTACTCAATTTTTGAGACAAACATTTCATAAAAATTTCATTTAAATTTTTACTCAATTTTCGCGACGAACATTTCCTGAAAATTTCATTTAAATTTTTAGTCAACTTTTACGCCAAATATTTATTTTGGTGGGACATTTAAATCTTTATGCAATTTTCATTAAACTTTTCAATTAAATATTCCCAAGATTTCAAGGAAATCTTTACGAAATTTTTAGTAAAGATTAGCTGCTGTGGGGGTAATTTGTTATTTTTAAATAGTAGATCAATTATAGTTGAACAATATAGTGTCATATTCTGTAATACTGTAATTGAAAAGGCCTTCTGCTAAAAAGCGATTTGTACTGCGAATGTTGCTGCGTGTTCGGTTAAGAGGGTGATTCATTTTAAATCTTTAAAATATATTGTTTTTTCGCACTGTCAAATTGTATAGATTGTTGGTATGTTTTTATATTGTTTTATATTAATTCTGTTTTTCTTTTTTTTATATTCATATACGAGCAGATTCCTCTTCTACGCATTATTGTATGCATAGAAAAGTGTAATAAATAAATAATAATGTCATTTATTGATAATGTATATTTTTTTTAATAAAATAAGCAGAAATTAATATTTAATAAAAAAAAATTATTGACGAAAACACCAGTGAATGAATACTTACTTTTTAAACCGTTTATTTATTTTAAATATACTGAAAATTCGAAAAAAAGTATTAATTATTATTTTTTAATCAAAAGTGTAATTAAATTACATACTTGTTAAAATCTTGAAATAAGTATTGCTTATCAAATTATCAAATATGATTTAAAAATATTGCTGACACTGAATGGACATTATTCCTTTTTACTGCAATATTTATATATAAATGTTCCAGTTTTTGAACAGATTAAATAAATTTTTATATTAAATAAGAATTTTTAGCCATAGTTATGAACTTATAATACTTATTTACCAAGTGTTTATTCACTGGTGTGTTATTCGCTGCTACATTTACCCTACTAACAATTAACAAATGAATTCTATTTGTGCATAACTTTCAATATAAATGAAATCCACCCTACTGATAAACTATACTGATATTGATTTCAGAAAATTTACTTTAGGAGGATCCTATAGAAAAATTTTGCAAGTACCGCTGAATTTGTCATGGAAACTATGTCATTACAATAAAAAAGATGAAGATTTAGTTATCTCAGACATTGATCGATTAAAGAAAGTAGAACAAACAAAAGATGTGATTGGTATGTACATTTTTGTATTAAAATTTAAAATTTTTTTAAAATTAAGGTTTTACTACAAAAAACTAATTCAAATAACTATTAACCACTTCACTGGCGTGGCGTTCCACGATGCCTGATCCAGACTCGCGAAAATACTGAAATTGCGTTCCTACTTAAACTCAATTTTTTAAAAGTATACGTTAGTTTTAATTACCAAAATTTGATATTTCTGTATTTTAGACATCAGGGAACAAGAATATGACAATAAATATTTGGTTTTTTGACGTTACCAATGTTTTTTGGACGTTAAAATCGCCAATTTTTAATACTTTTCGACAAATGGCTTCCACATTTACTTAATTCTTATTCAATGAAACAGATTTTTCCTTGAAAAATTATTACTATATACCTTCTAATTTGTAAAATTTAATAATAATTATTATTACCCCTCTGATGCCGAGGGTGTTTAAAGTTATCATTAAATTTTTTTAAGGCTTTAGTTTATCTAATTTTTGCTTCGGATTTGGAGGAAAATTGTTGGAATTGAAAAAAACCGTAAATTCACTGTTTTTAGGGTTCCGAACCGAGTACCCTATTAATATCGGTTTTTTTGAAATCGTGTACCCTCCCCCCCTAGCGGCCACACGAATTTATCTAGAGGGCTGAAATTTGGTACACATATGTATTTTCGCGTGTAGATTACAGGAAAAATATAGCGAACCTGATAGGAATTGATTATCATAGCGTTGTCAAGGAAAAACCATGAATTTTTACGAAAAATGCATAAAAATGACTTCAGATCAATTTACATAGCGTTGTCAAGGAAAAATAAAAAATTTCGAAAAAATTGATTTTTTCTCCCAAGCGCACACAATATTCAACCCAGACAGTTCATATTTAGTATACAAATGTATTTTTACGGGAAAAATACAGGAAAAAAAAGCAATCACGATTAGAGTTGATGATTAACTTTTTATCAAGTTTTTCAAGAAAAAATGTATTTTTCCACCAAAAACGAACAAAATTTTATTTAAAGAGATTTAAATTTATATATTTTAACGTATTTTTACGTGTAGATTACAAAAAAAATATAGCGAGCATGATTGGAGTTGATTATCATAGCGTTGTCAAGGAAAATCCATGAATTTTAACGAAAAATACCTAAAAATGACTATGTACCCCCCCCCTAGCAGCCACATCTTTTGACATAAAGAGCTCAAATTTGGTAAACTTGCGTATTTTTACGTGAAAATTACAGGAAAAATATAGCGAACTTGATTCGGATCAATTTACATAGCGTTGTCAAGGAAAAATAAAAAATTTCGAAAAAAATGATTTATTCTCCCTAGCGCACATAATATTCAACCTAAACTGTTCATATTTGCTGCAAAACTGTATTTTTGCGTGAAAAATACAGGGAAAAAATGTAAGTGCGATTGGAGTTGATGATCAATTTTTTTTAAATTTTTGAAGAAAAATGATAAATTTAATAAAAATTGTATTTTTCCGCAAAAAACGAAAAAAATCGGACAAGTGCGAGTTACACTCGCACTGAAATCGAGGGTTCCGTACTCGAAGCGAACTTATTTGGTATAAAAACAAATGTTTAAAAAATGTGTTGTATGTTAAATAATATATGTGATACAAAAAGAAACAATGGGTGCACTTCCGAAAACCCCCCCTTCCGATTTTAATGAAACTTGGTATACTTACGTAATTTGATGCGCTGATCACGAAAATGATAGTGAAAATTACCGCAAATTTCATTTTTATGGTGAAAACCATAAAAAACACCATAAAATTATGGTTTTTTGCGTTTAACTCGTAAAAAACGCAAAATTAAAAAAAATTAAAACTGGAAGGTACGGAACCCACCCCGACCCCCCTCCTCCAAGATGTCTTCCCCTAAAAGGTCTTATGGAAGTAGCCCTGCACAGCATAGAATGCAGAGGCGGGCGAAGCCCGCCTTCCCTAGTATCGTTGCTCTCTTTCAAAACAGACAGACAGTCAAATTCACATTCTTAATGGTACTGGAAGGTACGGAACCCACCCCGACCCCCCTTCTCCAACATGTCTTCCCCTAAAAGTTCTTTTGGAAATAGCCCTGCACAGCAAAGAGTAGAAGGTTTTTTATTAAAAGATATTGTCCGTCACATAAGACATCTGCCTCTTGTGGATAATAGCTAGAAGTTGGTGATTTTCACCGTTTTTAAATATTTTGCATTTTTCTCGAAAACTAATGACTTTTGGTAAAAAATGTATAGGACATAAAATATTCATTTTTAGAAGCTCTACAACTTTTGTAAGAACGATTTTTTTTAATTTTGCGTTTTTTACGAGTTAAACGCAAAAAACCATAATTTTATGGTGTTTTTTATGGTTTTCACCATAAAAATGAAATTTGCGGTAATTTTCACTATCATTTTCGTGATCAGCGCATCAAATTACGTAAGTATACCAAGTTTCATTAAAATCGGAAGGGGGGGGGTTTTCGGAAGTTTATCCGAAACAATTTTTTAAAAAAAATTTAAGAAAATTGTTCCTCCTTTGGTATAAAAACAAAAAAAATTTTAAATATGTGTTGTATTTCAAATAATATAAGTGATACGAAAAGGAACAATTTTCTTAAATTTTTTTTTAAAAATTGTTTCTTTTTGTATCACATATATTATTTAACATACAACACATTTTTTAAACATTTGTTTTTATACCAAATAAGTTCGCTTCGAGTACGGAACCTTCGATTTCAGTGCGAGTGTAACTCGCACTTGTCCGATTTTTTGTTATTGGACTTGAAAATGCCATTAGGACTTTATATATTATATAAATTATTTAAAATAAAATTAAACATAAGTTACTAAACACAAAAATTTGAAATATCATCATGATATAAAACATAAAAAAAGAACAATTAAAAATATAAAAAAAATAAAAAGAGGCAAAAAAACAGTGTTAGAAAAAATAATAAATAATATGACACAATAACACAGATGTATGAAAATTGATCAACTGAATTAATCTTTTAATATCTCATAAAATATGTCGACCAAGAATTGAATAAAAAATCAATAAAATATAAATATATATGCATAAAAGAACAAAAAAAACTTATCAGTGCGGTGTTCCAAATGACATTTGATGACTCGGGTTCAGTTTTGGTGATAAGGCGCGAAGAAATGCTGGCGCCAACCTGGCGATCAGGAATTAATCCCTTCAAGATGATCTTCCGCAATTTCCTTTTTTTTTGTTATTCAAGTTTACACTCACGTCAATAGCCCAATTTATCAGGGTAAACTCGAGATAAAAAATTTCAAATGGAAAATAATCAGGATCAATAAAGAAATGCTTCTCAAGCTCAAATAGAACCTCGACAAAAAACTTGGACCCGCTATTCTCGTCACTAAATTAGTCGCCACTCTACAGGGTGTCCCATTTTAATCTATCAGGCTCAGAGGGGGACATCCAGTGGTAAACTTGAATTTGTCCTAAATGACCTAATTTAGGTCATTTCAAGGTCAACTCATTTTTTTTAAATAGAACCACCTACTTTTTATGCCGGAAATCGATAAAGCGTGTAAGTACTTTTTTCGACGGGTCGACCTATCCAGGTCAAATAGGTCATAATCAATTTCACCTACAAGGCCTTGGTTGGGTCTAGTGTTTTTTACATAAAAATTCTTGCCCTGACGATTCCTTGCATAGATCTTTCTTCATGAAAAATTATTTGACATAGACTAGATCTAACCAAGGCCTTGTAGGTGAAATTAATTATAACCTATTTGACCTAAATAGGTCGACCTGTCGAAAAGAGTTCTTGGACGATTTCAACGTGGAATTTCTTGCTCTTCCGATTTGTAACATGAAAAGTAGGTGGTTCCATTTAAAAAAAATTAGTTGACCTTGAAATGACCTAAATTAGGTCATTTAGGTCAAATTCAAATTTACCAATGGATGTCCCCCTGTGAGCACAATAACTTTTGTCTAAAACATTTTTTTGTAAAATAAACTGATTAAAAGTTATTTCGCCTGATAGATTAAAATGGGACACCCTGTATATTTAAATAAATAAAAAATTTTACACCCCGATAAAAATAGATATTAAAAAAATTGCAACAAATAATAACACAGCCCCACAAAAAAAAGTGTCGTGCGCGGCAGACCAGACTAGTCATTTCCCATGTATTTTGACGCGCTGAACACGAATCCGAAGTCCGTTTTGCTCCATCACGTCAGGATTTTTTCTAACCTCCAAAAACCTGTCGGATTTTGAGAGGTAGGCTATTTTTTTTAAAAATTGATGGATTTACTTCAAAATTGGTATCTAGGGGTTTTTTGGGTCGCTGATGACGAATTTGAAGTTAGATTTTCAAAATTCAAAATGGCAGCTCCAATATGGCGGACGAATTTTGTAAAAATTGATGGATTTACTTCAAACTTGGTATCTAGGGGTTTTTTGGGTCGCTGATTACGAATCTAAAGTTAGATTTTCAAAATTTAAAATGGCGGCTTCAATATGGCGGACGATATCGACCCTTCAAAGGTGATAATTCCGCCCTTACACACGAAACTAGGAGCAATTAAACAGTTTGTCAAAGCCTTAGATAAAAAAGGAAACTGTTTCAAATACCTGGAACAAAAGTTTCCAGAAATCTCTGATGCGAAACTAAAAGAAGGGGTTTTCGACGGACCACGTATTCGCAAATTGTTAAAAGATGAGCAATTTATCACCAAGATAAATAAAAAGGAGAAAGCCGCATAACTTAGTTTTAAAGCAGTTGTCGAAAATTTTCTGGGTAATCACAAGAGTGAAAATTGGGAGCAAATAGTTAGTGATATGATTAAAAACTTTGGTAAGTTAGGATGCTTAATGAGCATAAAGTTGCATTACTTAGACTCGCATCGGGATTAATTCCCTGAAAATTTGGGAGATTACAGTGAAGAAGAAGGAGAACGATTCCATCGAGATCTGACAAAATTTGAGCGTCGGTATCAAGGAAGATGGGATGTAAATATGATGGCCG